AAAAAATTCCTGGCGCGACACAGGGAGCCAACTTTCCTTGCGGTGGACGAAGCTATTGACTCAATGTATTTGTTCCATCTCAGGTCAGCAGACAATGTGTGAACAAGCAATCGCAAAGGGGTGCTCTCGCGGAGTTGAGCTTCAGACATTCTAATGGGAGGCAGGGATGGTTCTCTCTGGTGAGTAATAGAGAGCAGGTTTGTTTTTGAGTAACCGGGTTTTATTCTTTTAATTTAGTTTATGCTATTTATTTTAATTTCCATTTTAAACAAAAAAGGTTCCATAAACGACATATTTCGCCTAAAACCTTCATTAAAGAACCTTTTTTTTTTAAATAAGAAATGACATGCAATAGGCATTTTCTTTGGTCTAGAAAAGGCCTATGAAACAACATGGAGATATGGAATAATGAAAGACCTGTAGAAGCTTGGATTAAAGGGAAGATTAGCCAATTTGATCAAAAACAAATTTTGTCAGAAGTTTCAAAGTTCGGCAGGATCAGCTCTATCTTGGAACTAAAAATCCAAAATGAAGGAGTTCAATGATATTGCATTCTGTCTGTCACTCTTTTTAAAATAAAAATTAACAACATTTTTAATTGCTTAAATCAAGGAATTGATAGTTCATTATACGAAGGCAAGCTTTTGATCTGTTATATATATATATATTAATACCCTACACTCGCCTACCCAATTTAAGCAATTCGCCCTAGCTGTTACCATGGGGATTTTGATTTCAATTTTTTAAAACAAGTAAATTTCAGATATACGTTATTCCAACAAAAATTTCGCTTGAAGATGGAACGGAGCCCATTTTAATTTAAACTCAATTTAATTTAAAGGATTATATTGAAGTTTTCGGCTTTTTGTTTTGAAACATGAGACCTCTTATGTAGCGATTTGGAATCATATTTTTAAATAAATAATTATATATATATATATATATATATATATATATATATATATATATATATATATATATATATATGCCCACACAAGAACAACATCTGCAAGTAGGCTTAAATAAATTAAACTGGTGGACTATCAAAAATGGTTTCAAATTCTCCCATCCAAAACAAAGTGACTCCATTTCTGCAATCTGGAAAATGCACAATGATACAACTCCTAGACTTAAAGGAACAGAAATTGAAATGACTGGCCAAACATAAATTTCTCGGAATTATTTCTGATCACCCCCCCGTTTAAAAGAATATAAAACAGAAATGCTTCAACGCATTACAATTATTACGGGTTGTGGCTAACACGGACTAAGGAGCTGATACCCCTTCTGAAAATCTATAAATCTCTGATAAGAACCAAATTAGACTACGGATATTTCATATTTGGCTTGATCCTGAAATCTTACGTAAAGCACCTTGACCTCGTTCACCATGTAGGATTAAGACTGGCTGTGGGTAGCTTGAGAAGAAAAGCCATAGAAAGTTTATCCGCTGAAGCCCATGAGACAAAGTTAAAATTGCGATGAGGGAAACTTAAACTACAGTACCCTCTAAAGCTCAAATCATTCCCATCTAACCCTGCCTATCACTGCTGTCCTTTTAATCCTAAATACAAAAATATATTTGATATAAAAGAAAATGCTATCAAACCTTTTGGCCTTTACATGAAAAATCTCATCAGTGAAGCACAAATAAATCTCATACTAATTCTTAAAACCACCAACTCAAAAAACTCAGCCTGGTTAATGGAACACTCTACGATTCTTCTAAAACTTACTAAATACATGGAAGAAATCCATAATATTCTACAAGCTCACCCAAATTATAAGCATATATACACTGATGACTCTAAAATCATGGACAGATTTGGATGCTCTACTATACTTAACATTATAATAATTCAGAAACATTTACCTGACAAAGCTTCAATCTTCAGTGCAGAAGCCTCAGCTATACACTTGGCTTTAGATATTATAGAATCCAGTGAATCAGATAGATTCATCATCTTCTCAGATTCCCTCTCTGTACTCACATCTCTGAATAATAAAAACATGCGAAGCTCCTTAATAAATAAATTATTAACTAGGATTTACACTAATTATAAGAACAAAAAAAGACACTGTAATAGTCCAATGCTGGATATCAACGATATTGTCATACAAGGAAATGAAAAATCTGACAAAATGGCAAAGGAATCGATGAACATGGGCCTCTTTAATGTAAAGGTTCTACACACCGACATCTGATCCACCATAAATAAGACCATTAAAGGAAATGACAGCAATTATGGAAAAACTATCAAAACAACAAAAAACAATCAAGTTACAGAAAGATAAAGAGAGGGAAAATATTACTAGCGAGACTCTGTATGGGACACACCAACATCGATTGAAAATAAGGAACCACCAATGTGTGTCCCATGACAGGAACCGTATACAGTTAAACACATTCTAGTAAATTGCTATAATATGCAGCAAAGCCGAAACAAACTCGACAATTCAAATAACTTAATGGACCAATTTGAAAATACCGATCCAAGTAACATCCTAAATTTCATTTAAGAAATTTGACTCTACAGGAAAATATAAAAAAATATAAAAAATACTCTTTACAAAATCTGCTTACCTACATTGGATTTGCAACCAAATTTTAAAGGAAAAAATTATTCCCAGCGATACATTTGATTCTCAACAAAAAACCTCTTTACAAAAATGTCAATGAAACATGATCTAGAAACAGATTTCTAATAAAGAATACATATTCTATTCATACGAAACTATCCTAAAAATCTTGCCGGCATTAAATAACCCATTATGGTGTTGATATGCTGCAAAACAAAATAAGTCAAACCAAACGAAATTTCTATTAGATTTCTCACCCTCCTTTAATTTTCCTTCTAAATCTCTCTTTAATTTCTATCCGTTTATTGAGTCAAAGTCAAGTAATTGTAGATACCAACCCTCCTCTGTATCCTGTCTAATATTCTACATTATTATCGGTTATATCCATTACACTCAATGATACAAAGTCGTTGGTTGATTTTGTTTAACAGCGTATCAACATCTATTGGTTATTTAATGCCGACATCTAAATATTTTGAACACAATTTTATGGCTTCAACTAAATCTTTACTATAAATATATATTGTTGGTAATTCTAGTATAAACATGTATTGTTAGTAATTGTTATATAAAAATGTATTTTTATGTTTCCCTAATATTTTGCTATCGTTTGGAGGTTCACTAAATGCTCATAGCTGGGACATTAACAGGTGCTATCACGCCAGGTCAGGGTGGATCTTGGAGCAACAGCAATTAAGATCTCTTCCCAAAACGTCCAATCTCCCGATCAGTAAATTTACTGCTGGATCTCGCTGGTGTTGAAGGTCCTTCCCTGTCAATTACTAGATGTTCCATTTGTCTATTCAAATCAATACCAGAAAGAGGATAACCTTCTTATAAGCGAAAAGTAATTTATTCATGCTTAAAATCTTAATTAGTGAATTTTTTTTTAATTATTCTTAATAAAATAAATCGTAGAAAAATATTTTTTTAATAAACAAAAATATTCACAAATTTTAATCCTTAATAAATTACTTATAAAAAAAAGTTATGCTTTTCTGGTGCTGTCTTGCTTCTGAGTTGTTTCCGTCCTGAGTTGTTCCGCTGCTCAGTCGGCGGTGTTGAGTCGGCCGTCTTGATTTGGCGGCGTCGGGTCGGCGGTGTTGAGTTGGCGGTGTCAAATCGTCACTTCTCGCTAAAAAAGGAAGTTGAGAATACCATGGACCTAATACGTGACAAATGACGAAGTTCAAAAGAGAATATCATCAAAACTGTACACTGACACTTAACAACAAGAAGTGAGAGTTGAGATTTCTGTGATACATAATGAGGAAGGAGGGGTTCAAAAATCTGATACTCATAGGACAAACTGAAGGCGAGACCGACCTTCAAAAGCAAGAAACAACCCACCTAGCAAGTTTGAGTCAATGGATTACAAAGCAGGCTATGGGAGACATGGCAAAAGTCATTAGGAGCTACAAGGGACCTGTGATTGTGGAGATCCATGATCGCCAATGTCCTGAAGCGACACGTAGCACAGTAGAAGAAGTTATCCAAAAAAGGGTTATGGAGCGAATTATAAGATATTGATTTCATATGAAACTTAAACTATTAATTTTGTTCCAGGATACAAGATATATAATATATACATGTATACCAGAGACAATCTTGTATTTTCTCAATATAATGTCTATATACACAAACATACACACCTATATATATATATATATATATATATATATATGCGTGTGTGTGTGTGTGTGGATGTGTGTAAACATCTATGTGTTAAGTTCGTTATTGCATAATCCGTACAAGTTGTTTATACTGACCATCTTTCGGCTTTATTATCTTTGTAGGTAACGGCCGTTTCTGGTGAGCTATTTTTCCTTAAACAAAAGCGGACAGTCGGGAGCCGGCCACGCGTAAGAAAACGTGTGTCTGCAGTCTGAGGAGCGACATTAAATTCGCGCAAATCTTGGCTAACGAGCGCCGATAGGAGAATTACGTAAACGTGACTGGCATTGGCGCATTTCCTCCAATCAACTACTGCAGTCGTTTTGGTAAATCGAAACGATTGTGTTGGCGGTATTTTTGCCGGAGAATGAAGAAAAGACCGTGTAATGAGAGGTCAAGTAAAAGGAATAAAGTTTTAAAAATGGAACCATGACGAAAATGGTGGAATTAAAATAAAAATAAATAAGGACTATGATATAAATTGGTCATCGATTGCCCGGTCGGTGCTTAGTAAAATGTTCCTTTTCAGTGACGGTTTATATCTTTTTGACGATTGGCGTAAGACAATCTTCTTTGCCTTTATACATAAAGGATCAGAAGATACTAGATAAAATACGAATGAATATTTAATACTTGAAAATGTTTCATTTCATATTTTAAAATCATTTGCAGTGAATTTTACATGTATTGCAATTTTCTCTATGTAAACATGGATGAAATTTTCATCAATGACGATCACATTCTTTCTAAGAAATGTAAAACAGACGCCAAAGAAGAAGAAAAGTGTTAAGAAAGAAAGAAAGAAAGAAAGAAAGAGATTTAACGACGTGAAAGAAAAGAATGAAAAAGAGTGAAGATGTGAAAAAACAGAAAGAAAAAAGGAAAGACAGAGAGAACGAACGAAAAGAAAAAGAAAAGAGGAATTGGCGAAATAAAAGGAATTTTTGGTTTTTCAAAAAAATGAATAACAGTGGTTGAAACGTCTATCGTGATTCAAATGAGAGAAAAAGAAATGTCTCCTCCGATCTGGTTTAATTTGAAACAAAAGTTCATGCTGAAATGATTTAATCTGCAGGAAATTTTGAATTCTCAGTTGATGGGTTTAGAAAAAAAGAAAGGAAAAAAAACCAACAGCAAGCTGAAACGAACGAAGACAAAGCCCAAATGATAGTGACGAACATAACATAGCAAACGACAGAAAAAGACAATAAACAGCGGAAAAGAGGTACAAAAGGAATAAAGGAGTAAAAATTAGAAGAAGAAGAAGAAGAAGAAGAAGAAGAAGAAGAAGAAGAAGAAGAAGAAGAAGAAGAAGAAGAAGAATGAACTATAGACAAAGAAAAGAAGTGCAGGGAAAAGAATAAAGATATATAAACTGAAAATATGAAACAACCGCTAACAGAAAATCGGAGGAAAGAAAAAAGATAAAGAAAGACATTTTTCTTTGTTTTTTTTTTATCAGTAAATAAAAGACAGAAACGGAAAAAAGAAAAAAAAGAAAAAAAAGAAAGCAAAAAACAGGAAAAGAAACAGAAACTTAGTAAGACTAAATAAAAATAGGAAATAAATACAAGAAAATAGGAATAACTTAATAAAAGCAAAGAAATAAAAACCCGATAAAAAAAAAATCAAAAAAATCAGAGGAACAATAGCGAAGGAAATAAAACCGAAGAAAAAAGAATGAAATACAAATGAAAAGAGAGAAAATAAGTGTGAATGAAATATAAGAAAAATAGACCAGATGTAAATGAAAGCTGCGAAAGAAATGACAGGGAATAAAATTAAAAGGCAAAGAATGTAAAGAAAAAGTTGCATAAAGAACAGAAATAAGCCGAAAAGTGAATACAGACCAGCACCCAGGAGGAATTTATTTGTTAAAATGGAATTAATGAACAAAAAATAGATGCAAAATATATCCAGGAGGAAGCATAATCCAAAAGAAAGTATAATAAAGAGGGAGAAAATAATAAAGACTGCAAAGAAACGGAATAAAAAAGAACGACTTTGATTCATGAGTAAGTTCAGACGATATAAAAGAAATTGTTATTTGGAACAAGTCTTGCTGGCTAACAGTAGGCGGCTAGCGGCATACGTCAGGTTTCTTAATCACAGCCATACCTGGCAAACAGGTGCCGCCATTTTGTTATCTGCCATTTCTAATGCCAGTTACACACCAAATGCCCAGCCAGTTTCCCGCCAATATCTTTGCTTTTAGTATCAGATCACCTGCTCGTCTTTAATCGCCTTTTTTTTCAATTTCTCTCCGGTTTTTTTTCTCCTTTCACATCTGATTCAGTTTCTTTGCCTCGAGCTCAGTTTGATATTAATCAAGTCTCCACGTGCTGTTGAGCGGTTTCTTGGAATTTTAACAAGAAACACAAACAAAAACAACGAACATGAAGCGCCATGCTTGGTTTCTTGATGCTAAGTTCTATGGATATAGTTCTGAATTCTGTCGATTATTGACTACTGTTCATTGTTTGCTTAATTCTCTTTGCTGGAGAATTTCCTCATAGATGAAGAGATGAGTGGAACCAAAACAATGTGGTTCTACAGAATGAAGCTGAGAATATAATGGTCAGAGAGTGTAAGCAACAAGAAAGTCTTAAAGAAAATGGAAGCAAGAAGGACTCCTATACACAAAATCAGAAAAAATCTGAATTTTCTTGAACAGAACATATCAAATGCAAAAAGGATAGATGTAGGTCGCGGGTCATCCAACTGTCGAGCTTGTGCGAATGGAATGACGCAACGAGGGGTACGTGTGTCAAAAAGAGCTAAAAAGTATAGAAAGTTTTGAAGAGACATGATCCCCCACATCTTGAGGGTACAAGCCATCTAAAAGGTGATTGTATATATTAATATTCGTATTTTTAAATTTTCTTTCATAATGTTATTGAGATTTCACGGATTCTTTTATGTTTCCCATTTTTTTTGCTCTATGTTCAAGAATAAATACAACTATGAAATATTAAGATTAATTTCGTCAAAAGTTCCATCAAACACTCACAACGATCGTCGAGCCAAGCTTGTTTACCATTGCACCATAACAACATATAAAAATAATGCTCTTATCCTAAAATGTGTGCAACATCGCCAATGAATAAGACACTTATATGCAGATAATACTATGGAAGGACCAATCAACGAGGAGGGTTTCAGGTAAATGGGACTAGAATTATATAGAGACATTGAAATTACTTGGACACATAATGAATTTTTTAATTTTTTTTTTTTTTTTTTTTACTTTTGCTGTTCAATGTCACCAATATCTTCCTTTCTTGCTAACGCTTTTCTTACAGGTTTCTTTGTCAATTCACTCTTCTCTCTTTATCTATTATTAAAATATGTCTATCATTCTTTCTGTATTTCTTTCTTTCTTTCTTTCTTTTTCTTTCTTTCTTTCTTTATTCCTTGCTGTCTTTTAGTTATTTTCTATTCTTTCTTTCCGCCTTTCAAATGGTTTCCACTTTTAAATATCTTCTTCTTCCCATTGTCCGTACCTCTTTTCTTTCCGTGGTTTTTCTGGATTTTTTTGAACGATTTTTCTTTTGCGTTTCCTTTAAATGTCTTAAAGTAAATGAGGCTATTTAACGCATAGTTAAAAGTTTTGAATTCAGAGATGACTGTCTCCTAAATGGGTTGAAACCGAAGGCTATAGGAACCAGACGTTTTAGCTATTTACCCATAAATGGAGGAAGAAAAAATGTATTCTTACTTCTACCAAGGGTATTGGCACTAAATGAATTTAACAGATTCTGATTCGATCTCGGCTATTCGATTCCTCTGTCCGAACCACAACCGATGACTCCACTGTGTCTCCGATATAATTCTATATAATTGCCCTGTACAAAGCAATAGCCACTACAGTGATTTCACAAAACAACCGCAGTATCACTCTGTTAAACATAGTTAGAAAAGTCAGTGGCCTAATGGTCTTAACTCGACTACAACCTTATTTAGTCAGAATTCACGTACGGATTTCAGACTAAGAGATTCACATTTGACATGATTTTCTCTCTGTACGGAACTCTATAGTACATACCACTATAAAATGCCTTCGTCGATCTTTCAAATGTGCTCGACCTTTTAGCAGGAAAGGTATTTTTTTAGCTACTAATTAAAATTGGCTGCGCCAACCCTATGTTATATATTACTGAGTTTCGCACTCAGACAATGCGAAGGAGGCCTATAAAAAGCAATGGTAAACTGTTCAACTTTGCCCATCTGAAGACAAATACCAAAGTGCGCAAACTTCTCATAAAAAACGCAGCTCTGAACACATAAACCAGACACGACTTTAATATTATTAGGCATTTAAACCACAGTTGTAAGCAATTCGCTATAACTATTAATATCTCTCTCCCTCTCCCTCTCTCTCTCTCTCTCTCTCTCTATATATATATATATATATATATATATATTATAATTAATTGATTTAAATATGTTTTTTCCGTTACAGTTTTAACCATGTTTCAAAAATGAAATTTTTTTGAAACATGGTTAGAACTGTGTAGCGAAAAAAACATATTTTAAATCAATTAATTTATAACATTAATGCTCTGTAAATTTACATTGAGCACTATTTTGTAAAAATAAAAATATCTATAAGAACACCGGATTACATATCTTACTGTTCTCTATATCTAGGTTCTACTATCACCAACAACTTATCGCTCGAACTGTTAATTGACAAACGCCTAGTCAAAGCAGAAGTAGTAATGACAAAATCAGACAATAGAGTATTTTTACAAAACTAAAAGCGTTCCAGGCATTTTTTCTATAGAATTGTATGCAAATGAGATAGACAAGTATAAATAGAGAACAACTAGGGAACATAAGAGCATTGCTTAGCAAATCCATTTGTTAAGCTTAACGTGGAGAACTCTGCTACTACTGCTACTCCACAGAGAGAGATACCAAATATAGCAATGGCATCGCCGATAGGATCGTTAAATTCACTGGAAGACTCAGAACACATAGAAATATGGATAAGAACTTGCATTTGCAAGAATGAAAGAATTAAGAGACAGAAAAACTGGCGGATGAGAGTGAAGAAGAAAATGAAGGGAGACCGAGATTGCCATTAAAGTGAAAACAAGAAAGACAAGACGAAGGACAGCACAGTTCAAGAATAATCAGGGATAGAAAAAGAAAAACCAAGGGTATACGACCTCTCCGATTCAGGGAGGTGTAGTATCGTATGCAAATGAGATAGACACTTATAAACAGAGAACAACTGGTGAAAATAAGGGCATTGCTTATCAGACCCGTTTGTTAAACGTAATGCGGACAACCGTGCTACGACTGCTATTACACAAAGAGATATACAAAACATAACACTTCCATATTATATTGCTTTGAGGCAGCAAAATAGGTTAGCATAGGCCAGGCAGGAAACTGCTTCGAAAGCTTCTATCTCCGCTGGTTACAGCATGTCATTGACATCACATGGAGAGATAAATTCAGTAAGACTGAAATGCTGGAGTAAGCCGATCCCTGAAACATGCGTCTTCTCTGTCAAGGTCGTCTTCAATGGATGGGTCATGTACCTTAAAATGAATGGAAGTACTGTGAGATTGGCACGGTTCACCGTCCGGTTTCAAGGAAGTCTGAAAGAGGGACCTGAAACTCACAGGCATCGACCCTGGTAGATGAGAACAGCTCACTGATGATTGCGGCAGCTATCACCATGCTGCTGAACGAGGAGTCTTGAAGGGTGAATAAAAGCAGAAACTAAAAGCTGGGTGTTAGAAGACAACACGGGAAGTAGAATGATACACTCAGACCCTCGTTACACGTTGCAGCTTCGTCAGACCCACCCTCAGAAAAAAAAAAAAACTGCCGTAAAACGACTGTTAAGCTACTCCAGATGCTGCTCACAAAAGGTCTGAAGTTTGTTGAGAGAGAAATATCACGCAATATAAACAGATGACAAAGACTAATGAGATTTTACTCAGTATAAATTATTCAGAAAACATAAAAAAATCAACTGATTTGCAATAAATAAATAAATAATGAATCCATATATAAAAATAAACCTCGTCACCCGAAATTAACTCGATGTTTCTGGTTGCCATTAAAATGGAAATTATTCAGTCGACAACAAAATATTCCAATCAACTTGAAAATATAACTAACTAAATAAATAAACAACAGAACCAGAATTTAATTGAAAGCTTCCAGTCGCCTTTAATAGGTATATTAATCAGATAACAAAAAAATAAAAATTTTGTTTACAAAAATACATAAATGAAATGACCGGAACTAGAATTTAAAATGATGTTTCCGGTTGCAATTAAAGTACAAATTAGTCAGACAACAAGAAAATATTTAACTTTCGTTTGCAAAAAAATATATAAAATCTCCTTAATCATAATGTAACTGCATACTTGCGGTTAAGGTGAAAATAGATTTTTATCAAATCATAAAAATTCTATGAATTATTCAAACCACAACAACGTAAAAATCTGTAACAAGGCAAAGAAAACAATGGAAACCTGCCGTCATTTGAACCTCCGCGGGAGGCTACCTCATATTTTGGAAAAATTGTTACATGAACAGAATAATCGCTACTTGTCAGATCCGTGGACATTCCTCGAGAGTTGTTAAGCTAAAAGAATTACTTTCTCATAACTTTTTTCTGATGCTACCGTCGGAATTATATTGTTATACGCATATTAAACTGCTAGGTTGACATCTAGGAAAGTTGGTTCACTGTATTGTGCTAGACAATTTTTTTCGGCAAAATCTATCTTACATATTTATAAGTCTACCATTCGTCCTTCCTTTGAATATTGCTGCCACATCTGGTCTGCTGATGCTGCTGCTTCATTTGGAGATTCTCCATAAAATCCAAAGAAGAATCTGCAATGTTATTGGTCCTAACCTGGCATCTCGGCTTCGGTCAACCTTCCACCGCCTTAACGTAGTTTTCCTGCGCCATTTCTATGTCTATCTTGTTAATTGCACTGATGAACTTTCCTCTATCATGGCTAGACTTTTTGAGTTTA